TCCCAATGTTCAGTATCGTGGTACTAAAGACGTTATTTCCTATCCGGACTGTCTGAGGTCTCTCAGTCAGAAAGTCCAGGAGGACTGAAGGAGGGGGTGTTGCATCAGGGCTGGCAGGCACCCTCCGATGGTGAAATAGGGTGGCAGTTGGTGGTACCTCACTCTCTGTGGGTTGTCGTGCTGAAAGCAGTGTATGGGTAGCCGGGAGTGGGACATTTTGGCACTGCCAAGACCCTGCAACGTCTCCACTTCTACTGGGGACAGTGTCACCGGGATGTGGAGAATTTCTGCTGGACTTGTGATGTGTGCCTAGCACAGAAAGGTCCTCCTGACTGTTCCCGCGCCCCCCTACATCAGCATCAGGTGGGGGCTCCCGTGGCGCAGTTGGGGGTCCATGTGCTGGGCATTCCCTCATTCGGATTCCGGCAACCGTTTCATCCTGGTGGCCATTGACCATTTTACAAAGTGGCCCGAGGCATATGCCCTTCCGGACCAGAGCACCACCACCGGAGCGGACACACTGCTGGAGGCACAAGAAGAGCTACACAGTGACCATGGGGTGCAACTTTGAGTCCCAAGTTTTCAGCCTGTTGTGCCAGTGCCTGGGGATAATTTTTTTTCACTTTTTTCCTTGCTGTCTATGGGATAATTGTTTGGGGTGTAAATGTAATAGACATATCATCAAAGGAGGTATTCTGCTTGAAATTTGTTAGAGTGCATTGAAACAGCCAAATTGTTGAATAGACCTTCGATGGTGATGTGTTTTTCCCGGGAAGGTGGTTCTGCCACAGACACTAAGGCAGAAGGTAATTAGTACACCAACCAAAAGTTCTTTGGCAAAAAAATCAAAGGTGGCAGAAGTTACAGACACCGCTAATTTGGCGATTTTGGAAGCGATACAAAATCTTACAAACGTTTCGACTCTCAGGACAAGAAGCTCCTAAATGTACATGAGCCAATTAAACAGAACACCGCGATAGTGGTTTCACTGCTGCGGAACTGAAAGATTGTAAATCGAAAATCTCAGATTTAGAAAATGACTCAGCCTACTTCAAAATGAAAACAGAGATTTAAAG